CTCCGCCCGGGCCTGCGGCCTCTCCCCGCGTCGCGCTCCGCTCCGCATCTCCCGGCCGCGTTGGCACCGGGATCGCGCGTCCCCCCGCGCTGCCCCGTCCCCCGGGGAGCCCCGGGCTCCCCCGCTGCCCGCAGCCGCCTGCCCTGGCAGGGCCGAGCCGGGCAGGCCGCGACGGCGCCCTGACCTTCGCCCTCCGCAGATGACCTGGCCGACGAGATGGAGGACGTGGACTTCGAGGACGAGGGGGCGGACGAGCCCGACGCCGAGGCCTGGGAGACGGAGGACGAGGAGGGGGTGGAGGACGGCATGGAGGCGCAGGACGACAGCGAGGTCACGTTCTCCCTCCACTCGGGTGAGCGGTGGGCACAGGCGGGGGCCGCTGGGGTCCCCCCCCCGGGACCTGCGCCCACCCCGGCTCTCCCCAGAGCGAGGGGGTGCAGCAGGCCCTTGCCAGGCTGCTGTCCCCTGGCCGGTCCTGGGACGGCCGTTGCCGCTCGGGGCTGTGATGCTGTGGGCTTTGCTCGTTTCTGACTTACGCTCCGGTAGAGAAGAGCCCTTCAAGCCTCACCACTGTGGTGGCTCGCCCTGAGCTCCGTTTGGGTTGGGAGTTCAGCTTGCTGACATCCCGCCCAGACCTGGCGTTGCGCGGGGTTTGGATCCCCTGGGGACGTCGGGTGGGGCGTGAGCGGCGTCCGAACCATGTAGCCTCTCTCTTCGCTTCTGTGAAGCTTCTGTTTTCTGCGTGAGCCTCGATCCCAAGACCAACACGCTGGCAGTGACGGGCGGGGAGGACGACAAGGCCTTTGTGTGGCGTGTGAGCGACGGGGAGCTCCTGTTCGAATGCTCAGGTGAGGTGCTCACAGCTGTCCGAGTGAGCAGCCGTGTCCTTGCCCAGCCATGCTTTTCTCCAGCCGATGCTCTGCTGGAGCTGGGCTCCTGACCATCCTCTGTAGCTTGGCCTGAGCAGTCTCTGTCCCCTGACGTCTCTAGGACACAAGGACTCGGTCACCTGTGCCGGCTTCAGTCACGACTCCGTCTTTGTGGCCACGGGTGACATGTCTGGGCTTATCAAAGTGTGGCGGGTGGACGCCAAGGAAGAAGTGTGGTCCTTCGAGGTGGGGGACTTGGAGGTGAGTGGCGGGACCCCTGGTGCTGTGGAGAGCTCCTGGGCCGGGAACCAGGACTCAGCTGGGTGGCGGGGGGGACGCTGCCCCTGTGACGCTGCCTGTCCCTCTTCTCTGCCCAGTGGATGGAGTGGCACCCTCAAGCCCACGTCCTTCTGGCGGGCACGGCTGATGGCAACTCCTGGATGTGGAAGATCCCCAGCGGAGACTGCAAAACCTTCCAGGGCCCCACGTGCCCAGCCACGTGTGGCAGGATCCTGCCTGACGGTGAGGCACGGGGGCTGTCTGGGGTGGGGAATGGCATCAGCTCTATGACAGATCCTGCTGCCACCATCTGCCCTCCTGCTTCTGCCAGTCTGTGCTGAGCGGGAGGCGGAGGGATGAGGGGAGCTCTGGCTCTATCCGCTGGCTCTGTCTTACCCAGGGAAGCGAGCGGTGGTGGGGTATGAGGACGGGACCATGCGCATCTGGGACCTGAAGCAGGGAACCTCGTTGCATGTCCTGAAAGGTAGGGAAGAGGTTAATCACCTGGGGTGCTCCCTAATTGGGGAACGGCCCCTTCCAGCGGGCTCTGACCTCTGCCTGGGCGGAGAGGTGGCACCACCGAGGCCAGGGGCTGCTGGAGGGAGCCTGGCGCTGGGTTTCCCTGTCCCCACAGGTGGCTGCTCCTTGCCACCGGGGCGCTGGCAGAGCCAGGCAAGGTGGAGGGTGGGTTTTGAGGCCCACCGGGTCTCCGCAAGGAGCACACGTGGAGCTCACGCCTCTTCTGCTTGCCCCCCAGGCCAGGACGGCCACCAGGACCCCTTGACGTGTGTGGCCAGCAACCAGGACGGCAGTTTGATCATGACGGGCTCTGTGGACTGTCACGCCAAGCTGGTCAACTCAGCCACGGGCAAGGTGGGTCCGTGTGGGCGGGGGCAGAGCCGGGAGCCCTGGGGGACCGGCCTCCCAGGCCCCTATCCTGGGCCGGACCAGTGTCCCCGGGTGGTTGGGGGCTCTGCCGGTGCCGAGCAGGCTGTGGTGGCTACCGGCAGCCAGCAGGAGGAGCCCTTGGCCAACACAACGGCTTCCTCCCCGCGACTGGTGGGACCAGTAGCTGGGTAGTCCGGCTAGGCTCCGAGAAAGAAGTTCCCCCCCCTTGTCTGCTCTGAGGAGCTGGGGTTTTGGGGTCGGGCCTTGGTGTCCAGGGGGCATAGCCTCGATCCCGGGTAAGGAAGGGGCTCTCGGTGTGAGTGGGGGTCCCCCTCCCCTCGGGGACTAGTCGACCGCCTTCCACCCAGGTGGTGTGCGTGTTCAAGATGGAGAGCATGGCCCCCAAGACCCCTGCTGGCGAGGGCGAGGAGGCAGAGTCCAACTCGGTGGAGTCGCTGGGCTTCTGTAATGTGTGAGTGTGGGGGCAGCCCCTCTTCAGTGACAGATCTTACAGGCGTTGTTACAAACAGATCCATTTGCATCCCTCGCGCTCGTTCTGCTGCGTTTTTCTCACCTCCATCCTCCCCAGCTGGCTGTGGAGATCCCAGGTCACTTGGGTGTGACACGGAGGACAAGGTACACCAGCTGCTCAGTCCTGCCCCCAGCCCCTTGGGTTTCTGGGCTAGCTTGACGGACCACTGGCCGCGCTACCCTCCAGACACGGTTGCTGGGGATCTTTCCTACCAGGACGTTGTCTTCTCCCTCACGAACCTTGGGCTGGTTGCTGACTCTTGCTGTCCTGATCGGGGTGTTTCATGGTTCCAGCTGTCGGGTTGTCCCTCATCTTCTCAAAACGCTGTGGCCCTCAGCATAGGGATTGCCTTCAACCTTGATCCTTCACACGCTTCCATCCCATGCCCATGTAACGCCTGTTGCTCTCTCTGCAGAATGCCACTGGCTGCTGTGGGCTACCTGGATGGCACGCTGGCTATCTACGACCTATCCACACAGAGCTTGAGGCATAAGTGCCAACACGAGGTACTGCCCTACCCCCTCTCCTTAGGCCCTGGGCAGAGGGGGGTGTCTTTGGGCCCACCCGAGACCTCCCTTGGAGCCCAGGGGCTTTCCTGGGACCAGTTCCCAATTTGTGCTTCTCCCTCAGCCCCTCGGGCTTCCCCAAAGGCAGCTGCAGTCCCTGCACAGAGGATGTGCCCCATAGCTTGGCCCTGGCTCTCCTATCTGTGGGGCTGGCAGACAACACTGGGGGGGGCACATGGGGGGAGCTGAGACTTGCTGGGGGTCCCCAGTGCTCACCCTGTGGCCTCCCCCTGCCCCAGTCGGGGATCGTGCAGTTGCTGTGGGAGGAGAGCTCGGCCGTGGTGTACACCTGCAGCCTGGACGGGGCCGTGCGGCTCTGGGATGCCCGCTCGGGGAAGATGATCAGCGAGTACCGAGGGCACTCGGCTGAAATCCTCGACTTCGCTGTCAACAAGTGAGCAGGGAACCCCTAGACCCCTTCCCGCACGGGTGGAGGGACCTCAAATCACGAGCTGTCTCTCTTTTGGGTGCCCCTGGGGTCCCAAGGCGGGGGGCAGACCCAGGTCCATGCTGAGACTTGAGGGTCTCAAGGGGGAGGGGGGCAGATCAGAGCTGGGCCAGGGGCGTTGGTGAGGGATGCCCACAGCCCCATCTCTGAGCCCTGTCTCCCCCCAGGGACGCCTCCATTGTGGTGACGACCTCTGGTGACCACCAAGCCAAAGTGTTCTGCGTCCAGCGCCCCGATCGCTAGGAACCATGCTGAGGGACGGTGTCCTGGCTCTGCCAGGTGGCTCGTGTACAGAGGGAGGAGGGAAGATGGGTTTCACCACCCCTCTCCAGTGCGTGCTTTGTAATTTTCCAGCCTGCCCCGCTTTGCCCTCACCATCTGGGGGCCAAGCCTGGGGTTTTGTATGAAAATGTCTTTTAATTATATAAATTATTTCACTTAACTGGATGCCATCCACTCTGCTTGTTGGGGGGAAGAGGACCTGGGGAGCTGTGCTCCCTCCCTCCTCAGGGATCGCCCCAGCATCCAACCCTGGCCTGAGGATTAACGGCAGATGGTTTTATACTGGTCTGGGTGGAGGTGGAGACCCCCATCTTAGCTCTCCCTGTCAAGGGGAATGAGGGGGTCAGGGTAGGAGGGAAGGGTGTGGATTGCTAGCTGAGGGTAGGAGAATCCTGCTCTGTGCAGCCCACAAGTTCCCTAACACAACAGGCTGCTTACTCCTCGACCTGGGCACAGCACCCCCACTTCAACCCCCAAGATGGAAATCACCATAAGTAATTTGCTCCAGGCTAACAGTAGTTATTCCCATTGCACCTGTGACTCCAAACACCCCTTCCAGGGCAAGGCCACATGCACTGAGAAGCCAAAGCCCCAACAGCCCCTTAAGATAGAAAGATCTTCTTTATTAATGAACCCCAACAGTATTTCTTCAGATACAGGAGTTTTGAACTCAAATACTCAGAAGAAAACAAGTTAATATTGCATTATTCTCATAAGAAATACTGCAACTTATTTCCGGTAACATATTGCAAAGCGAAACAGCTTGAAAAGAAAAAAAAATTAAAAAAGAAAAGAAATTAAGTCAATCAAACTGGAATTAAGGTTTTGTTTCTTGGAACGATCGAGTCCTCGCAAGCACAGCTCGTTTCTGCAGATTACTCCCCAAACTGTCGTACAAACAGACCCCGATTGCTTGAATTCCTTATGAGCCCACAGAGGTGCAACATTAAAAGCTACGATTATCGGGTAGCAAGTGCCCCAACCTTCGTCCTCCACGGCAGCCCCAGTGACCCTGGCGTTAACGGGTTGTGAACGTCTTCCCCCTGAAAGGATGCAGAGAGAGGTCAGCAGAGCCCCTGGTGCTCTCCTGGGGTGCCCCGGGGTGGCTATGGGGCTTTTGGTGGGGCCCACGCTTCCAGTGAACTCTCAGAGCCACGCAGGCACGGCTGGTTCAGAGCCCGCAGGCGTTTGTGGCTGCAGAACCACGTCACAGGGCTGTGGGGAGGGGTTGGCTTTGGCAGAGGGGACAACTCCACTGCCGCGGATTGGAACACAACGGGGACATGCCAGGATGCACTGAAAAAGGACACCAAGGGGCTCTGGGACCTGAGGGAAACACGTTCACGCAACTGCTCTCCTCCACCTGCTTCGCTCTGGGCTGCTTTATTCACAAGAGGAAGCCAGCCAGCCAGCACGGTGGCCCGGAAGTGCTCCTGGCCCCAGCCGTTCGCTTGCCAAGGGCAGCCTGGGGCTCTGAGGAGCTGCAGATGCACCAGGCAGCAGCAACCTGGTCAAGCAGCTTTTATACAACATGGGAAAAGCCCCATGAATGCCTCCACAGGCTCGGGGGGGGGGGGGGGGGGGCACAATGGAAACACCAGGGCTTGCAGAGTCATTACGAGCCTTCTTTCGCAAAGGACCTGCCGGCACAGGGTCTGCCACGGACCCGGCTCCTGCAAAGGGCACGAGAGGCAGTAAGCGAGTGTGGTGGAGGGAGCACAGGGGTCCTGAGGGGCCAACGTGCCCCGATCCAGTGTTTTGCCTCAAGGCACCCAGGCAAACACCTCACTACGAAACACCCCCTTTCTCTCTCAGATAGGGTCCCAGCACATCAGGCCCTGGTCTGGTCACCCCCACAGCATCCCAGTCCTCCCCGGACTGGAGTATGCCACACTGAGAAAGAGCAAGCTCGTGGCTGACAGAGAAGCCCAGGGAGCTGGGCCCTGCTTTGCTACTCACGTGATTGTTTTCATTTCTTTCTTCTCTGCGTCTGGACGGGCACGGTTCAACACCTTGAGGAAATACGCGGTTTCGACCC